TGCGTACAATACGACGCTTCGCATACGACTTTAGTGTACCTACAAGGACAGCTAACTAGTGCTGACCCAGCTTCTCCTGCCAATATTTGCCTAGTTCTCAAAGGATGAGAAAAAAGGGTTGTAATTTCGTCACTTTCAGTTGATCAACATGTCACTCATCAATGGAAAGACCAAGGGCGCTGCTTGGTTTGTCTCGCACTGTGCCACGAACAGCAAGAGGGAAGTGTACGTGAAAGAACTGAAGGTAACAAGCTTTCTCTTTGACAAAATTAGTGCACAACATTGGCTTGTAAAGGGTGCTATAAAAGGTATAAAAATCATGTTTATCAATTTATTTCAATCGCTTTCCGCATCCCAGTCTTATATCGTCGTCGAGCAAATTTAGAGCGCTACAATACTTCCTTCGATCTCTGTCATTCTTCTGAGAATTACCAATATAAACCGCCTCGTCTACGGGGGTCACTCACTTGTTCTGAGCTTTTCTTTTATTAATTTAGCTTTTATTAACCAATACGGTACAACTTTCTTTTCACCTCCTTTTCGAATCATTAATACCTATTTCCTCATTGTTTTTTATTGTATTTTTCTCATCTTTGTTTGATTTGGCCTACCATATACTAGTTTTTGATAGCTCACAGCTAGGTTGTACCTTCTCTTTCAGCGTGATGAACGGAAGTATCACCTGTATCACCTGTCGTCCCGTTGATCATCGAATTGCTCGAGCGGGCGCCAGCAACGTCTCCATTCGTCCCTGTCGCGTGCAGAGTGGTCCAGTGGATCCTCCTCGCTCGAGGGACACGAAGTCCTTCATTCCTTTCGTTCAGAGCTTTCGTGAAGAAGTCTGACCATCGGGCCGGCGGTCGTCCAGGTGTTCGTTTGACGTCCCGAGGGATCCAGTCGGTAACCGCTCTGGTCCAACGGTCATCGCAAAATCGCATGACGTGTCCGGCCCACCTTATCTTCGATTCCTTGGCGAAAACGGCAGCGTCCCTGATCTTCGATCGTTGGCGTAGTTCGGCACTCCGGATTCCCCTCTGCACTTGCGTGTATAGGGTTACTCCTAGCATCGTCCTCTCGACAGCGCGTTGGATAACGCTGACCGCATGCTCGTCCTGCCTGCGCAGAGTCCAAGTCTCTGAGGCGTAGGTTAGGGCAGGAAGGACAGCGGAATCGAAGAGGTGGGCACGGAGCCGGATGTTCTTCATCTTCTTCTACGATCCCATGCGACTTTTTCTTCTTTTCGTGAATGAAAGCAAATAATTAATTAATTAATCAATAAGTTTAGTAAAAATATCAAAACAAGTGCACTAAAAACAGCACTCACCGTTAACGTTAAGGAGAGCTTCCCTGTGGACGTCTATGGTGGCTGTGGACATCTAAAGTGTGCCCGAGGAGGAGCCTGTGAAAGTATGTTGGACAAAGAGTAAGTTAGAATTCTTAGGCAAACTTGAACCTCCTTCACTCCTTTCAAAATCTCATAGGGCTGATTACGTGCCGCTACTTTGCATTTTGTAGTTGTTACTTATTCTATAAAGGAGAAAATATGAAGTGATGAATGAGCTGCTTCTTTCATTTTCAACTCTCCCTCCCCAAGTCGTTATGTAGACTGAAGAACTCATACAAATTGAGCAGCGATATTGAATAGAGCAGGGAAGGCAGGGCACGTCGAAGAGATTTACCAAATTGGTGCAGTTTTTCAATACGATTTTGGGTCATTTAGATTCACATCAACAGATTTCGCTGTTCACATGAAGAAATAATATACGATGCATCGTGGTAATCTCTGAGAGTAGGTGGCGAAGCATTACCACGTGCTCAGTCCGCCTGCCAGTTCCCGGGGTACCCCCAGGAGGCCCGTCGCGCGGCAAGAAGGCAGAGTCGCGGACGAGTCGCAGCGCGTGATGTGCGATGTAGGACGTACAATGGGACATTCTATTTAACTTGACGCGAAATCCCTACAGTACGCGCTGCGACTCGTCCGCTGACTCTGCCTTCTTGCCGCGCGATGGGCCTCCTGTTGGGTGTCCCAGTTCCCGGCCCAAATGACTCCGGGTATAGATCAACCTCCTATTGCTCCAAGCCTAATTTAATAGCATTACACGAGTCCCGAAGAAACAAAACACAGCTGCAAACGGATAACCCGGAAATCTCTGTGCAGACCAAGTTGGTGCAAGTTTAATTCTTAATGGAAGTACAATGCGTGGCTCACTCTAGAAGGAAATTGATCAACACAGTTTTCGCAGGGTTTACAATGTTCTCGTTTAGTTACCACTTCTACATCGCATTCGAAAACTCAATCTGTAAGGACTACATCACTGAAAAACTCTGGAATCAGGGATATCAACGGGATATTGTGCCACTGGTGCTGAAGGTGAGTGTGGACTTGCGTCTTTACTTTCGGTCGCAGTCGCCGGAATTTCCTAATTACCTTTGAAAGCAGTTCAAATTTGCGGAGAAACCTCTCAAACGATGTATGTAAAGTCAGGAGAATGTCGATTGTAGGGGTTGTTAAAATTAAAGCCACTGGTCGAGATGGTGTGCCTAGGAATAGTCTCTCTTATAGTGAGAAAGAGGGTCCCCAAGCGCAGGAGACTTGACACTGTTGCGACTCGATGTGCGAGGCAACGGCGCTAAGGCCTTGCCTTTTAAGCTGCCGTGCTGCCCTTATCAATCGTAACATTTGCGTCCTCTCGCGTACGACGAGCCAGGGTGAATAACGGTCGAGGAA